TTGTTTTGAATTGTTAATTACCATAGTGATAGTCGTAATTTCTATCACTCTGAAACTCATGTACATGTACTCTAGATAAACGCATGTATAAGCCAAAACAATATGAAGTAAACAATGGTAAAAATATTTTTCACACTATGGTGTCAGATGATGTGTGTGGTTTCACATTTAGAAAAAATGATTATTTAAAAGCATTTTAATCTCTCAGTAGATTTATTATTGGGGTAATCTCAAATTATGTGAGGTTTGATGAAATGATTTATACAGTATGTGCTTTATCTTATCTGGTACGGGACCAATGCTCCAGCAACAACAGTCACCAGGCGCCCATATTATGCTATTTAATCGGTTATGGGTTATTATATTGTTTTCTCATCACAAACATATCTGGAGATGTCTTTTGTTCCATTTGCACAAGTTTAACACACAAATCCTGCATATTTAAGATGACGGCTAACTGTTCCACCTTGTGATGTCATGTGGTAAACAGAATTTGCTTTGCTGTGTTTTTAAACTCCAGACAACCTTCATTAGAATCATTTGGATAATTTCAGCCCTGGAATTGCAAAACTCCACTGACCAAAAGGTAAAAGGAGCTGTTAGCTTTAAAACTACTGCCCCATGACATCACAAGGTGGAACAGAGCATTTTGAGCTTTGGAGATGTAGACAGATTAATAATAAATGATTACTCAAACATGTGTGAATAAAACAAAACACAGCTCCAGGTATGTTTTTGAGGAGGTAACAACATTATAACATGGTTTAAAGCTCATGAGAGTTAATTTAGTGTAATATAGGACTTTTAAACTTCAAACTCATTACTGATCTTTCTTTTTTTGAAATAACAGATACATATAATTAAGTAATGTGAAGCAATGTCTGGATGCTGTTGAACATTTTAACTCAAACATCCACATACAACCCAGAAGAAATACACTAATAATAAGTACATTTTGATGTTGTGTAAAGTGTCCCGTGGTGTGTATGTTGGAGGTGTACGGAGCAGAGTCTAAGCAGCACAGCCCAGGCTCTCTCCAGAGGTTTATCACAGCGCAGTGCAGCTGGTTGTCTGTCAGAGTCCTCTTTGGGTTTGTGCTGTCTCTGCACCACCTGTGACTGAGAGCTCACACTCCCATAATGCAAACGCCAGACCTGCTTACTCCGCCAGTTAACAATAGCACTTCTTGTATCAGTTTGTTTTTTTGGCATGGCACTAGTGATACTTTCAACATCTTAGCATTTGACAGTGGTGTTAACTCGTAAGGTGAGACACTGGTGAAATGGGAGAAACAAGAAAAAAGATCAAACAACTAACTGTGTGCTATGTAAAAATATCAAATTTGGCCTAATTTTACAGAAATAAAATCATGATTCATTAAAATTATATCAGCGAATGATTCTCTACGACCTTGTCAAAATGTAATTACACATTTTAAGCTCCTATATTACATAAAAAATTGACTCTTATGAGCTTTAAGCAGTGTTATACTGTAGTCACCTCATCAAAAACATATCTGGAGTTATGTTTTGTTTCATTCACACATGTTTGAGTTTATTATTAGTCTGTCTGCGTCTCCAAAATGCTCTGTTCCACCTTGTGATGTCATGAACCGTAGTTTTCAAGTTAACTTTTACCTTTAACTTATACCTTTAGTTTAGTAGAGAGTGGCAATTTCAGGACTTAAATTATCCAAATAATTCTAGTACGTGAACACAGTGGAGCACTTCCTGTATTGCCGAATGACATCACAAGGTGGAACAGAGTGTTTTCAATCTGAGAGAAGAACTCAGCCTAAATATGATTTGTGTGTTAATGTGTGAAAGAAACAAAACACAAGTCCAGGTATGTTTTTGGTGAAGAAATATTACAGCATAGATCACAAAATAGTGTAATATGGGCAATTTAAAATGAGATATTTGCAAATGATTCGGTACAAGCTGTCAAAATGTAGTTAGACTGTTAAAATAATTGAGATTTTTGTGCTAATTTAATCTGTATGTTGTATATTGTCTGTACGTAATTGGATCCACATGCTCCTATGGGAGAAAAATGCATTTTGAGAGAATGGCGTTTTAAGTTCCAATCTCCCATATAAATTTATGTGCGCGCGGTGATTAAATGAAAACAAAACATCTAAAAATGTTTTGTTTTGCAGATTAGGCAATGTTGCTGTTTCCTAATGAAATCTTAGATGCTGAGAGAGCAAATAGATAAAAAACAGACCTGTGTGTGTCACCATCTTTTTCGCATATGCCTGCTCGTAATGATCTAAAACACTGCACAATATAGCATTCTTAGAAACACATGATAATAACTAAACAGTATAATTTAGATTAAATTAATACAAAATTAGAGTGCTGTCCATGTTTTTGGTGATACAACATCTTGGCAGGGTTGCTTTTTTGTCCAATAGCTGTTTTAAAAATAACTGTGCATGCACGGACCAATACAGGCAAGCTTGGTCAACTGAAAGGGTCCATATTACACTATTTTCTGGTGTATTTTATAATGTTTCCTCATTACAAACCTACCTGGAGTTGTGTTTTCTTTCATTCACACATGTTTAACACACAAACCCAGCATATTTAGGCACCTTTCAGCCCTGGAATCTCTACAGAACTAAAGGTAAAAAGTCTCTGTTTTGCTATATAATCATAATATAATAAGAAGATTCTAGGATGTGAGATGAGACCTTTATTACGAAACAACCTCTGGTCAGATTATTCATGTAGTCTTGACATTGAAGCTTTTGCAAACAAAAGCTCCACTCTGGAACATAGCTCTGCCCTATGCTCTTCTCCATAAGCCACAGACCACTTCCTCTCCACTTCCTGACATGGTCATCGTGTTGGCTTAGGCCCACTGTAGACAGATGCTGCCCCATTCCTCCTCTCTCTCTCTCTCTCTCTCTCTTCCTTCTCTTTGTCTCTCCCCTTTTCTCTTCCACTCTCTCTCCTTCTCCCTCTCTCCTCATCTCAACCCCCTTCCCTCTCTGTCCCACTCTCCCTCTGCCCTTCTCCCTCTCCTCTCTCTCTTTATCCATCTTTTTCTCTTCTCCCCTCCCTCCATCCCTCTCTCTGCAGCAGGTAAAAGCTGCTTTGTCAGGACAGCCCTCCAGACTGTGAGGCTGGACTGGGGCCAGATCTCGCCCCCCACATGTGCACTGTCATTACGGGACACTCATCTATAAACCCAACCTCTACACCTGACTCATCTGGACACATCAGTTACGAGAGGAGTGACAGCAAGAAAACGAACATATGAGTCTGTCAAAGAGGAATAAGGAATGTTTGATCGTGTGTATGTTACTTTTAGACTTTATGATCAGAGGCAGACGTCCTTAAAATGACAGAGTACAAATAAGAGATGTCCTTCGAATTGTGCGTTTTAAAAATTCTTGTGATGTTTAAAGATCAGTTGTGAGATCTCGACTTGACTTTTAATACTGCAGAAAGCAAAGAGTGTCCGCTCTTGTCTCGTCTAGATTTGTCTGTATGTTTCAAGATAAGAGTCTGATGTAGCTGACATTGCCAAAGAGTTATTTTAGGATTTTATAAACAGACTCCTGACTCCTGACTGTGATTTGTCTGGTTGGCATTAAACTTATCTCCATGGAAACAAGCAGATGATGCCACCAGACCAAGTAACCCTTTGAATCTGTGGAGACAAACCTGCTCACAGTGAGATCCCAGATAATAAATAACATCTATGTAAGGAAAAGCAAACTCATCTCCAAGAAAGTTATTGAGAAAAGAGGAAGAAAGTCCATCTTTGATATCTGATGTGCGTGGATTATACGATGTTAAAGAATGATTGACTGTTGAATATTGGAAACCCAAAGAAGAGTGGTTCCTTCTCCCTCTTGTTTCTGAATGGATTTTGTGTGTTTATTTTTCACTGGGAGGGGGTTTAGAGCATGAGTTTCTGTGTCGGACACATTTGAACAGAGCCATCTGCTCTCGTGCTTTGTGCTGCTGCACTCACTTCACACTCACTGTGGATTTCCTAAGAGACGCCTTTGCGGGAAGAATTAACAGGCTGTTATTATACTGGGAAAGACACAGTCTATAGGGTTTAAGCAGTCCCTTTATAATTGTATATTTTGGACTATATGCAATCTAATCATGTAAACAAAACTCAAATGTTCTTTTTCAGTCTTGTTGTCACATGTCACATGTCTTTCTTTTTTTATGGTGGAGAAATGGACTGTTTTTTTTGGACTGGGACCACCATGTTGGGTTACCTGCAAAATGTTTAAAGGTGCATTGTGTAACTTTTTTGGTGGAGGATTCTGTCAAATGGTTTTCTCCATGGAGATATTGTAGCTTTGTCAGGAATGCTTCACAGAACACACAGCCTTTCTATCTTCATAGAAACCAAACTAGGTCAAGTCACAGGTCAGATCTGTGGAGAGGCATTCCCACACACAGTCAGAATGTAGTTGAATAAAAGTGAAGTAGAGCTGTTTAATGTCATACTGTTGAACACCAAAAAGTAACGTAGTGCACCTTTAACGCAGTAATTCTTTCGTGCAGTGAATCATAGAACTTCCATGAATCATGTCTAAGAGATGCGGGACAGTTCCTTGACTCTTTGACTTATTGATCACTGTTCTCTGTTGTCTCATTGTTGTTAGAGGAACACACATAAACCTGTGTCTGTGACATCTATTACACGCGTCATAGTTGAAACTAACCTTCAAACAATAACTCACCTTGAAGGTTCAGGTTGATGAAGTTTGAAAGGAAAGATTGATAAATTCAAAGGTCGTAAACCAGGTTTTACCATAGTGGGATACAATCAATACTCTGGATTTGTATATTCAATAAAGAAGGCCACATCCTTATTTTCACTTATCACCAATTTTTTTCCTTGGTGAAAGATTTTGATAAGCTTAAAATCTTCCCAAATCATTTGGTGTAAAAATCAATTTCAGTCTTTACTGACCAGTTAGATACTGAATCTACTCATATATTTGTCTCCATATTTGTCCCCAGGTCCTGGGATGAGTTCCACGACTGTGCTAATGTGGCGATGGCAGGCTGTCCTGATGAGGCGGCAGCGGTTTGGGAGTCTCTGCGTCAGGAGTCCAAGAAGATGCAGTTCTCTGGGAACCTGTACGAGATGTGCTCCAGACGCACCAGCCAGTCTTCAGCCTCCAACTCCGCTTCCTCCAATAACCAGGAGAAGATCAACCAGGAGTCCCTACGAGGCAGCTCCCCCAGGCCCACAGCGGCCCCCCTCCTCCTGCTCCTGCCCTCAGTGCTGCTGCCTCTGCTCTGGATATAAGCACCAAAGGACCTCACTCAAACATAAACTGTATTTTCTCTCCCGTCTTTGGACTTTCCACTGGTGTCCTCAGCTTGGTCAGGGCTGAGGATTTACAACTGCATGTTTAAAGCCTGGCGGCCTTTTTGATAATGTATCTTTAAAAGGGTGTTTCATTCATAGTCACTGCCTTTCAGTTTGGTAATTTGTTGGAGAAAATCTAAACCTTTTCATCGTATTATAGCTTTGTACACACACAAGTTTCACAAAGTTAGAGACTGTGATGACTCGTGCTTCACTGTACCAACTTGGAAACAGATTAAAAAACAACAACAATAATATTAACAATACTGGTGGGAGCTTGTTTTTATGATAATAATGAAATTTAATGACAAACATGATACCTATAATTGAGACTTTGCAGTGGCATCACGCTGGGGGTGTTCTAAATATTCCGCCATACACATACATGCAGCAGTTACCATGGTGACACAATGGACACATGAGCAAACACAACCAAAAAAAGTTTTAGGATAGAGTGAAACCAAAGAAAAAAATGCAAAATTGATGTAGGCCGATATGATGAGGGTCTGAACAGAAGACACAAAAGTGGTGCGGCGTCTTCACTTTTTATAACGCGTTTAGACGAGTGTTTTCGGGAGGATATCTGTGTGTATATGGTCACGTAAAAGTGTGTGGAATTCGATTGGGTATGCATGCCAGGTTTCTGTGTACTGTATGTATGTGATGTAAACACGTACGGAACATGAGTAGAGCTGACCAGAGTTTTGCGTCTTGGGCAGTGTAGACGCTACGGCAGAGCTTATTCAACTTTTCCACTCTGGAGGGTGGTTTTAGATTTTGCCTTTTTAAACTCCAAAAATGCTGTCATCGTTTAAACAAAAGGCACTTCCAATAAAATATTTTGTTGTTTTTACCCGCAAGCCTTCTTGTGTAAACAGATTTTCAGGAGCCTGTGATCAATACGAGCATTCATCTTCCTGTTTAGACATTTGATTTCCAACAAACCCGGTGAGAGTGACTGACTGAACAACTGGTGGTTAATGCTAGCGAGCTTGTTAAACAATAAAAATAATAAAAATCAACTCACCTGATATAGTCAGTTATTTATGGTCAACTTGTGTTAAAACAAACCTCAATATAAGTCTAACACGGACAGACAGAGCAGAGCCTACAGTTAGTATCACACCCCCAGGAAATGTTGATGACATCTGCTGCAAAGTATCAATAGCCTATTCATTTGTTATGGAAATTTGTGTAATCCTACTACAGATTTTGAAGAATGTTAATACAGTTGTATCTATCCTAAACTCGACTTGAGACTCGATCAAACCTCTGACTTTTGTATAGTGACTAAAGAAAGCAGGTAGAGTCAGGGTTACTTTAAAGGTGCATTGTGTATCTTGGTGGAGAGTCTGCCACCTACTTTTCTATTGCTTTGTCTAAAATGTTGCACAGTATGGCATTTAACCTTTCTAACATCATGAGACCAAACCAGGCCAAGTTACTGGTCAGATCCATGGAGCGGCACAGTGGGACTGTCTGTTTTTGTAGGTATTTTTTAGCTATAAAATCACCTGTAACTGAATAAATGCAAGGTAGAGATGTTTAATGTCATACTGTGGAACATTTGAAGCAAAGCAATGACACACCCATAGAAACAAGATGGAAAACAGAAAAGTTACATAGTGCACCTTTAATATTGTTAATCTAATAATCAACATATTTTATTGAATGAAATACTGAAACACATTGAAAATATTGGTCAAACACCTACACACTAAAACTTCTGCTTTTCACAAGGCCAAGCACAGATCTGGAGTGAGATTGACTCTAGTAATCAAATCGAGACTTTCTAATTCTGCCTTCAAGGAATCACAGAAACCAAATTTGCTGTCTCAAGATTCCTGGCCCAATAAAGTCCACAAATACTCTGTCATCTGGGGAGGCACTGAGACGCCCCAGGCCCATCATCTGAATAGAGCTTCAGAAGCATCCAAATAGACGGGAACTGCCACCAACTAGACACTGAGTGAAGATCATTGTTACAGAAAGGACAGCGCACGATTGATTTGTTTTTATACGTGTAAAAGCTTAAGTCAGTTTTTCATTTTTGCAGCATGCTGACACTGAAGGTTGCGTAGGGTCAGCTAAATAAATAAATGAATGGTGCATTTGCCAAAAGTGTCAGCTGCAGTAAAATGGATCAAAGCTGTTACTAACACACAGGTGGTAAACTAAAAAAGTCCATGGCAAACAAAAGAACGTAACATTACAAGGAAAAACTCAATACTACAGTAAAGATGTTATGAAACATCTGATCCCTGTTGGCTTGTTCTAGGTAGATAGATAGATACGAAGAAAGATATTTTATTGATCCTAAAGGAAACTCCAAATCCAGTCTTAGTCAAAGGTCTCAGTGCAGTTTAACAGGAGGCTGGTCATGTAGGGTCAGCAGATTCTGTGTCAGGGCAGTTTGAGGAGACAAACTTAAGTCTCACTCTTACTCCACTCTGTTGTTTCAGTTGGAGATGAGACAGCAGTTGTTGCAGATTAAAACCTGCTATCCTCAGAGTGTTGATTTAAAAAGGAATCTATTACAAATGTTGACATAGAGTTCAAGCTGTTTACTTTTTAAAATTTTAGTTACTTTAGATCAGGGGTCACCAAACGTTTTTTCTCTGGGGCCTACATTATTGCTCCTGACTGTGATGGGGGGCTGGGGTTGGGTAGGATGTATAACAAAATTGTATGACACTGATGACGCAGATTTTTTTTTTGAAAACTGCCACACTTCCTTTACATATCAGACAAACTGCACAGTCCTTACACTGAATAACAAAATAATCAGTTGTCCACTGGTCTTTGAAAACTCTGCACTCTCTGTCAACTTTTCATATTTTAACACTCGCCATTTTGCTGTCCTTAACTGCACTACAGTACTCTGCGCGTGCATTGACTGTCACTGTTTGATCTCCAGCTTGTCAGATGATGAAAATTTGGCGTCAAATTCAGCGACAAATGCAAATCCGTCATATAATTATTTTAATATAGATACTTCATATACATATCATTTATTCATTTGAAAAAAAAATCTACAAAATACTAGATACCTACGTGTTATTATTTGCCAAAAAGTAATACAAAAAAAATAAGCTATGACAACTTTTGAGGATTGCCTCATAGGGCCAGTTCAAGAGGTGGGGGGCAGAGAGGCTAGGGGGCCAGTCAAAGGGACATGTCAGACTGGAGTTAGGTTGATGACCCCTGCTTTAGATCCTGTATTGGTTTTTGATATGGATGAATAAAAAGCACGTGTATGAAATTAATTTATCAGGCACTATTAAGGTCCCTCGCTTTATTGATGTTAAAATATTCACACAGAACATTGGTGAGAATTATACTCAAGAGAAATCCTCTCGAAACACCTCCTGCGTCCTTTTCTGTATTACACATAGTCCTACAATATTTACCCAATCTGTGCTCCTTCAGCATCACACCCAGATGCGTGCCAAGTGCGTTTGACGACCCCGTACTTGGCACCAGCCCTGCTCTGCGCTGCTTGTTATTCACCGGGGCGGGAGGTAACAGTTGTTTCCGTCTGGCCCTGGATCAGAAGTACCAATAGATTAGAGACGGAGAGAGAAAGAGAGAGATGAGGATAGACCTGCAAAACAAACACCATTGTGCAGCTATTGAAGGTCTAAGTCGAATCCACCTGTCTAACCGTGAGTACGCTTTACACAGGAGGGTTTAGCTCTACTTTTGTTCTCCGCAAGAAAATAAATCAAAGTGGCACAGCTTTAAAGCAGAGGTGCGCTGAGGCTGGATAGGAGCTGGAAAGGTGCAGATGTGAGATGAGAAAGTGAGGAGTTTTATCAGCGAGGTGCATTTTAGTAAAGAGCAGTTTTAGTGAGGTTTTCAGAAATGCAAGGCGAGTTGTCAGTTAAATGACAGCTATCTGAGCAATTTTGATTTACTCCCTGCAAATTTGAAGCATTTTTAGAATTTAAATAAGAAACTGGAGGATTCTGTGAGCAGTTTTAGGCAAAAGCAAAAAAAAAAACCCAAAAAAACCCCCAAAACAGTATATTCCAGGGTTTTGAATACTAATTATTCCTAATTATTGATGTGACATTCATGAACGAGTGGGCTCTTTTGAACTGTTCCTTAAAAGTGCACTGTGTAACATTTCTGGTGCAGGGTTGAGGGATGTTTTTATTTCTCAAAACTACAGCAAAATAATGAATTATTTCTGTGAGCAGGCCCACTTCTCCACAGATCTGACTGGTAACTTGGCCTGATGATGTGACTTGCTTGTCTTCATGGAGATGTTAAATTAAATCCCATAGTGTAGAACATTTCAGAGATAAAAACAACATGGAGTCAAGTAGGTAGACCCTCTAGCAGAAAAGCTACACAGTGCACCTTTAACATGAATGGTTGAATCTGGATCTAATTTTTTAAAAGAACCTTTTTTTTTCTTTTTTCTTTCTATCTCCTATGCGTTTTTACACTGACTAACTCTGAAGTAACCCAGCACAGAAACAGACAATACGAGTGAGAGCTTTATGCACAAACATATTTGTGATCATAATTTGTTAGTTTTTGATTATTTTTATTATTGTAGTGCAAAGATTTATTTGTGCGTAGTTTCAAAACGTAAGCACACTCCCACTCTCATTTTGAAACATTTTAAACAAATCTGGACCTTGATCATTTCTCTCTGTGACGACTTTGTTGTTAAAATTAATTCTCACAATGGCTTCTGTCACATACATAAATGTAAAAACAGCTCTTTTATATGTAGGATTGAAAAGATTCTGATCCGATTAAAAAAGCCAAAAGTCCCATCTCTAGTCTTAATGGGTTTTAATGGGCAAAGTTAATTATTATGATGATTATATATAATGATTATAAATGTATTCCCTTGAAATGTAATCTATTTGTGTTTGTGTGTCAGCCCAAAGCTTGGTTAAAGGTGCACTGTGTAACTTTTCTGGTGTAGGATCTGCCATCTGCTTATCTCCATGGAGATG